CAGAGATCCACTGACAAATACAGGAGAGGAAAAGTAATTACTTTCTGACAGACTTTTCTCCTACTTCTGCATAAACAGAAGGATCCCATGGTACAGATTTGCCTTTAAGGAAAGTGTAAGTGGTAAGAATATCTGCTGTTTTTTTTTGCATGAGGGATGAATATCTTCAGTGTTGGTGTAGTTTTTAGATAATTCACGAGGACTTCTGATAAAACACAGCCTTTTTTTCCCACCCAGTTGTATGACTTTAATGTTTTGACTCTAAACTTTTTCAGGGGAGGATGGTGTAGAAATTGTATCTTTGTCAGCTGAGTCATTTCATTAGGTCTCTTAAAATGAACTGCTGTGCTTGGTACCTGGACTTAGACAAAACAACTAGCTTTAAAATTTCAGTTTCTAAAAGGAAAGCACAATCTTCCTGGGTTGAAAGGTACCATGTCCTCCTGTCCTTCCCTGGTTGCATGGTGTTTTAAAGGGTCTTGTTTTTAAGACTGATTGGGAGCTTTTCAACCAGGAGAAAAACAAACTAATTGCTCTTACGGTTACATGAGACCCTCAAAGACTGGGTGAGCCAGAGCTCTTTGAGTTGGATTTATTTCTTCTGGCTGATGAGGATACTAGATAGAGGCTTTCCTGCCAGTCAGCATTTAATTGGAAGAAGTGTCAGTTTGACTGAATTTGCTGCAGGAGGAGTGTGAGCGATGGGGTGAGGCAGAGGGCTCTGAGGAGGCTGGGAATCGACGCTGTGCCGCCAGGAGCCATCTGTAGAGATGCTTCATAGCCGTGCAGGCAAGGCTGTGGATGTTTTTGTATGTGTAGGGGAAGCTAAAAATAAACAGGAGGGAAAATGGTCTCTTAATCATTAGGGTGTGTTGTTTATTGTTGCTGTTTTAAAGCAGTAAAAGACAGCATTATTTCAGCTTGTTTGAAGGAGTTCAGGAGAGCAGTAGGACGCAGAAAAAGGCTGCCAGTTCTCCATACACAGCATGGGTAAATGTCTCAGCCTGCCCAAAGGGAGCTTTCCCCTTTATGGAGCAAGCCATGAGCCCAGCACTTAGGATGTGCCATGCACTGTGCTTTCAGACATGATTCCTCTTATACAGCACAGTCATGGTTTTCAAAGGTGGGGCTGGAGGCATTTATTAGTCTCTGCTCTTTGGGAGCGAGAAAGGGAGATGGTCTTTAATCCAAACCAAACTTGAAGCCGGTGGCACAGCTGATTTGAACGGGCTTGCTCGGTCCTGCAAGCCTTGCTTTTCCGTGCTGTGTATTCTGGAGTGCCATCTGCTGGCTGTTGCTCTGTTTAGCTCTGTTTTCAAGAAGCAGCTGCTCTAGGAGATTAGAGCTCACACCAAAGCTCGGGGGTGTTAGTAATAACAGCATTAACTATTTGTATTGATGCCTACGTTGTTTTTTTTTAATTGTCATAGCACTTAAGTACCCAATATATTGGCAAGGACTTCACCCTGACAGGTGCTCTGCAAACTCAGTGTGAAAGAACCCAGCACAAGTTCCACTGCATAAAAAAATACAGAACACTGTATGAAGGAGTGGTTTAAAGTTTAGAGAATGATTTTCCCAGTAGATGCTGCTTTTTGGCAAAACACGAGACATAAAAAAGAGCACGTGTTTGATTTCTAAAGGAGTAATCATTAGAATGAAGGCACTTGACAAATGAAGTTACTTAAGCAAAAGTTAGGACAGTGCTGACCCAACTGTAAAAAGTAACAGTGATGTCAGTGAACTAAATAAATTGGAAATTCTTTTGGCTAGAAAGCAAGGGATGTTGTACTTTGTGGCACAGCGCAAACCTGGGTCCAGAGTAAAGTATTTTTCATCCTAAATGTGACTTGATTCCATAATAGCGAAGAGAGATGTCTCGCATCTGCTTTGTCACATTGATCTTCAGTTTTACACTTCAACTGGTGTAAGTCGCATGGTTCCTGTGGCATTGCTTTGGCTGTAGGCATTGATATTTCCAGTGCTTCATAACCACTGTAAGGCACGCAGGAATTATTTTAACAAAATAGAATTAAGATCTGAACTGAATGGAATTAACTTTAATTCTGTGTAGATATCTCCAATTCTGTATCACATCTCCAGTGCTGCACTTCACAGTGTGACGAAACAGGCTTTTCCTCCTTTCTTCCAGCAGTCTAAGTGGCACCTTTTTGGCTGGAAGTGCTGTTCTGTGTGATGCTATGTGTAATATGTGTTGGATGTATGTGGTGAAGCTTCTCTGATATGTGTTCATAAGCTGTTAGTGACTTTTGGGGATGTGTTTTTGAGACTACTGGGATGAGTGTGACTCTGAACTGCCTGCCTTTCCGAATCAAGATCCTCTAGCTCTTCTATAAGAAACACCTTTGAAACCAGTAATCCCATCAAACAGAGAAGCCTTCAGGCTTTAATCACATCAGGGAATGTGACTTATATGATTAAAATGCTCCATGTTGTGGTTTTTTATTTTTGAGCCAGGATGAATGATTCTTTGCAAATGTGCAGCTATGAAACTACTGCTTAATAGTTGGGTGTATTGATCATTAGCATTCCCTAGGCTGTGAAGGAAAAAGAAAACCGGTGTATTGTCTGACTTAGACATTTGCATTCAGCGGTAGGGTGGTGAGAGTAAATGGTACTTCTGTCTCATTCAGTCTCTGACAACAGCAAGAAAATGTTATTCCAGAGTCGGTGCAAAAAGCTTTGTTTGCCCTTTGCTTTTCCTAGGTAAAATTTTTTTCCTATGAAGGAAAACAGTCAAACTGAAATGAAAGCTGAAATGAGTTGACATTTTAATGGAAATTACTGTTTTTGCCCAGGGAGAAAGTATTTGCTTAATTTGATCTGAAACCACCAATGAATTTGTTTAATTTGAAACTGCATTTTTTAGTTAGCTGTAACTCAGAGTCTGAGTCCCAGGGAATCACGAGACTGGTTTGCAAGATAGAGACTGAAGTTCTGGGTGTTCTGGCTAATCAGAGTCTGAGGCTTCTGAAGTTGATGTTTTCAAGCTTTTTGCTGAATACTGAGCTGATTGTTGATAATCATGAGCCTAAGGGACTCGGTGTTGCTCTGTACGATCAGGATTGTGATGAAGTCTTGAGCATTAGCAATATTGTGCTCATTATCTTCTCAAAGCTTGTTCTGCTTGTTCTCAAAGATAATTCTGCAGAATTAGGCCCTAGATTAAGCAGCAAAGCAGTTTGCTTCATTTTGATTTTTTGTTCTAAGGTAGCGTAACACCGTCCTTTCTCAGCATCTGCACTCCTTCATGCAGTGAATGCTGTATACTGTTAGATAAGTGCTGCCAAGTGGAGTGTTTTTCACACCAGGGTGTTTCTAAAGCAGCCAGACTTTGACTGGCAGAAGTATGATGGGTGATGTCTAGCCCGAACTTTGAAACTCGCTGTAAAGAATGAAATACAACCTGACAGAGCTTGGCAGGTCTGATAAACTCCTCGCAGCTACAGAAGGTGAGTGGCTGTTAGGATTGAATACCTACCATCTCTGTGAAAGAAAGCAAAGATTTTGAGTAACATGAGCAAGAAGAGTTTATTTTCCCGTGCCTGAGCATTTGAGTGGCTGATGGCCAGTCTCCATTATGGCAAAACTGTCGGAGCAGAGAGGCTGGCAGCTCTGCAGCTTTGTGCTCAGTCTCTGGGGAGCTGTAATTTATCTCGGCCCACCTGAGAGGGTTGTGTGACATGCCAGTGCAGGCCCAGTTGCTGCCTGAGTTATCGTTGTTGGCCTCTAGGGTACCTTAGTGCTTAGCTGCAAGGTGACTCATCTTGCAAACTGTGCTGGTTCACATGAGGCAATCCAGATTCTCTCACCTTATTCTGGTCTTCATCCTAGAAGACCATTCACGGAAATCATCTTTTTCCCACTGCCGTGCCCATGTCTACTGGCATGAACGGGAGATCCAGGAACCCTTCCTGGCATTGGTTTGTTTCCTCCTTTATAGTCAGAAATAATCCCTGGTGGGACCAGGGCTTTGAATCTTTACATGCAACCAGTCAGGTTAGTTGCAGCTGTTCTAGGAAGATTGGGTTGTGTTTTGCCAGGTTGCCCATTTTCGGGGTGGTAAAGGAGAAGTGAAGGCTTCTGCCACTTAGAGATTTAGTGATCTGCCTGTGGCTGCTGACACCAGTTCTCTGCTTTACTTATGCTGATGGATAGCGTGGTAAATATGTAAATGTACGACTGACCTCAAGAGCGTTTGTCATCCCATTAACTTCAGTGGCTAATGTCAGATCATTCACTTCATTACTTGGCTGCTCCAGACCTCGTGGAGTGTTTGTACTTATAGGTAGAACATGCAGTTGGGAAACCGTTGGAAAAAGTTATTTATTCTCTTTAGTATGCCAGATCTTTTAGGGAGGATTTTACTCTTGTAAAGTCCTGATATATACAAGGAAAACAGATCACCTAGAAATAGGAAGCCATGAATATGTATGCTGCTTGGGCTTGGCCTACCTCTGCTTGTGATCTGCATTTGCAGTGAGTGTTGGACTGTTCCCAAAACTCAGGCAGTGAATGTGGTATTAATATTATTAGCTGCCAGGAGTGCTACGGGGTGAATGATTAGTTTCCAATAAGCTTTTGGATTGGTTCCAGTTCCTTTTGGTGTAGTCTGCAAACTAGAATGACCAGTGCTGTGACCTGGGATAGTTGTAGCACTTATCAGAGGCTGTGAATGCATGAAGATCACAATTTGTCTGCATTAGGAAATGGCATTTTGTGGGTGACCTTGAGGAGCCATGCTAGCTGGTTATCGGCTGCTCTCTTGTGAAGATAAGCTCTTGGAAGTCATTCTTCTGTGTTATGACATCTGCTGCACCTTTTCTCTTGATAAACAGGGGACTTTACTCCCTTGCTCAGTAAATTTCAGGAGAAAGGTAAAAAGGTATAAAGCTCCCCTCTCAGTGCTGTCTGCCTTAAACCTTCCTCTGTTTCTTTGGGGTCTGTAGGACAGAAAAGATCTTTATTATTATGAGGCTTTTAATGCGATGTTTTCCAATTGCTTAATCCCATCCTTTTCAATGTACAAGGGTGTATTGTTTTGATTCCCTTAGATCTCTTGCTTTTTTTCTGTTATTTGCTGAAGCAAAGGAAGAAACCTCCCCTACCCACACCCTCACAAAACACAGTCCAGCCCAGCCCTGAGGAGCAGTGCCGTGGCTGGGGCTACTGAGCAGTGTGGGTCTGAGCATCGCTTCCTCAGGAAGTCACACTTTGTGGGTCCTGTGTATGAGACAGAAACACAGAGCAGAGTTGCTTGAGGTAAGCGTGAAACGGGGTTTATAGTTTTCACACTATATAAACAGCATATGAAATGCGAATATTGATTCCTTTCTGTCTTCCTCTGTTTGAGCCAATATGCAGGCAGATTTTGACCTGATTTTATCAAAAATTACTTGGAGAGCTGCTCCATTCACTTCTAATAGTTGACTGCCTTAATACACTACTTCAAGCTGATTTCCAGTCGAGCGCCCACTGTATCAGTGAGAAGCATTTGAGTTTTATTTAAATTTTTTTTTTTTTTTGGATGGTGGTATTTTGTAATGGATTCTCAGGGGAGGGAGGGATGGAAGAATGTTTTAATTAAGTTTCTCTTCAGGTATCAGGCAAATTCTATCAATGGCAGATGAAGCATAAAGCTGTAATGGAAGAACAAATTTGTCATTTTAAGTGATCAGTTGCTTTGTGGTCTCTCTCCCTCTACATTTTGAGTACCACAGAATCTCATCACATAGCCATAAATGAAAATCTTTTTTGGAAAGATGCTGCACTGCGAGTTACTTAGAACAAGTTTAATATCCACAGAGCAAGCTTTGCTCTTTGCTTGCATATAGCTGTGAGGTTCTGGAATTTGGCCTTTGTGGCTTAATTTGTGACATCACTTTAAATTAGGGAAGATACTTTAAATCTGCCCTTGCCAACCATCTGTTCCATGTGTCCTGGCCATCGATGACTAACCGTGTGGCTTTTAGTTAGGGAATGAGGAGAAGATTGCTTTTCTGCTGGGCCTCCACCCCCATTCCTCTTTATGTCAGCTTGAGTGGCAAATGGATTTGTCACTTGGTGGTGGAGAAACCTGGCTTTTAATTCCTCTCACCTTAGGGTTTACCAGTGTGTCAGGCATAATTAAGAGCAGCCAAGAAAACTGATGAAGTGCTAATGGCCCTGCCAGAGTTACAGTGAGAATGAACTGCAAAAATGAGCACTGCCACTTGAGATGCTTTGAACCCTGGAGTTTTTGTTCATTTTCATGTTGAGAGGTAATGCTTTATATCCTCTGCAGGAGAATTTCCAGATTTGGGATGTTTCATGACGAGGGTCGGGTCTCATCCTGCCAATGCACTCCTCATGCAGGAAGAGAACTTCCAGACAGCAGAAATGAGGAGGAATACCACATGAGACTCTTTCTGGCTGGGCAGCTGTGCATGCAGGGATCTCTTGTGCTCTTCCAGGCTGGGAGCTGGGAGTTTCAGGGACCTATGGCTCTGGAGCAGCTTGGCTTGTCACCTTGTAAAAGCTGCTAACCTGGAAGCTCTGAGTTGGTGAGGAGCACGTCAGACTCTATGGTCTGGTCCCCATGTTCAACTGCAAGGAGGGCTACTGAAGGGCTGGGAAGGCAGAAGAAATGTGCCTGAAATAGGCACATTTATCAGGAATATTTTGATTTCAAATAGCCTTTCCTCTGGTAAAACACTGCATGAAACTTTCTGGTGAGCATGGCTGTACTGCTTTGACTCAGCAGTAAAAAACTGTACTCATCATTTGCTGACCAGGCACATTATGGGTGATTAGTAGTGTTGTGTTTGCTGTTGGAACAAAGTGCAGCTTATCCTGATCATATTTGACCAAAATAAAGTCTTTGGAGCTGGGGAATGTGGACGTGTCAAAGTTTGCAGATAAAAGGAGGGAGCAGCAGAGCTTTTGAGGTGAGATGGAGCAATGTACAGCAAGTGAGTCTCTCTCTGTTTCTATGAAAACGCTAAAGACTGCTGTTTTCAGCTGATGTGGTTTTGCTCCAAAAATGTAAAGTTCTGCAACTGGTTACAGTAGCGTGGTGGGCCTTTATGTCTCTGCTGTCTGTTGGAAGGGCTGGCTGATGGCAATTCCTGAAGTAGATGCGATGCGTTAACGCCTTGCAGCCAGGCTCTGTGATCCACTTCTGAGTGCTCAGTGCCAGAGAGGGAGGCCAGCTGCTGTCCTGTTTAGTCTTTGCTATTGAGATCACCCAGAGCAGGTTCTTCATCAGCATGGATCCCCTGGCACAAGTTCATAGGATGTTGCAGGCTCATATTTCATAGTTTCATTCAGCGTTATTTTCTGTGGCTCTACGCATCCGAAGAGTACGTGTGCCTAGTTGTCTTCTTGGCAAGGGTTGGATTAAAGCTGAAGGATCAATGCCAGCATATGCTGGCTAAGGATTCGGTCAAATTAAAATGCTTTTGCTCTGCAGTATTTCTGTACCATTGTGAATAACAAAATGGAAAGGATAGTGGGTGTAGGCTGTCCATCTTAGGCGAAAGGTGCCTGGCAAATTAGTAATTCCCAAGAGAAAATTGAATTAAATTTGTTGTTTTATTGTTAACTGTGTTCCTCAAAATGCAGACATTGTCTCAGTCGCAGTTTGCATGATGTCTGCGGAGATGCTTTAACTTTTCGATCACAGGCTTTCATATTTTGCATGGTCTGTGGAATAATTGGTATGTTCAATGAACAGAAAATCTTGGACAGGACATGGAGATGCTGCCACATAGGAGCAATTAGGGGAATCAGGTGATTTTCTGAGCCTTGTTTCTGCGTTGCAAAAAAATAATCTGTCTAGAGTCTTCCACCCCTGCTTGCTGACTCATGAGGTGAGAAGTGGGGCAACCTGGGTGGTGTTTGCATGACCTTGGACCAACTACTTCATCTCTCTGCGCTTCTTTTCTTAGATGATAGAAGGGTGTAATAATGATAATACTTCTCTCTTAACAAGGGTGTTGTGCTGAATAATTTAATTAATCTTTGTGCTGTTTCGGTTTCTATGGTAATTAGTGCTGCAGAACAGCCTAAAAATAAATGGAATCGTTGAAGGATATTCAGAGAAAATCAGGTAGTATGTTCTAGGTATTTGCAACAGTCCCAAACACAAATCTGCTGAAAACATTAATAGATATTGAGTTTGTAGCAGAAATGCAACCAGATATTAATTATGTTCTTCCTATTCACTGTCAGCTTTAAGTGACTGCAGCAGGCATTTCTTTCCATGTCTGTGGGCAGAGGGCTTTTACAATTAGTTCCCCTCTGTGCTGCCCCTCCCTCTCCTTTCTAGCCTAAGGGCACCTGAACCCAGTGAACCTTTCTTGTCATAAATCATAGACAGTAATACCATCACAGAATTCTTAATGAGTTTGGGGAGTTTTTGTAATGAACCTTCGTTGAGAAAGGTGAAGTTTTATCAGCGCAGCGCCGTGCTAGATGTCTGTTAGTAACCTTGCCATCCAGCAAGCACAGCGTGCCTGAACACATGCATAAGTATGTGCAAAGTTTTTGAGGCTTTCAGTGATCAGCTAACTACACCAACGTGCCCTGGAGCCAGTCTTTAACAACATGATGCAATATTTAACCTTCGCTGAATTGTATTAAATTCCATGGGCATTATTAAAATATCTTTTTGTGGCTTTCATGCTGGTATAATTTGGAGCCTTAATAAGTTAGAAATATGTGTGAAGACAGTTCTTCATTCTCTGGTAGAGGCAGCACCCCTTCAAGACTGTGCTTTTCATTGCATGGTCCTTGGGGCTGTCCTTATACCGTGTTAACAGGCAGTGGTTTGTCATTGTTGTGTTCATGAACTTGTCCATCTCACATCCAGTGGATGTTTAATGTCCGTCTTTGCACCGCTTCCAAAAATAACTGCCTTTTCTGCTTGCTTTATAGTTAGTGTTTGTGCCAACATTCTTTGCAGCAAACCCAATTTTAATCAAGCCTCTTTGCTTTCTCTTTCCTCCCCCTGTAGCTGTGTTGCATTAGCTGAAGAAACCTTTTGTACGCCTTGTGCATTGTGTTGGGAAGCTGGGAGCTGCAGTAAATGCCCTTTCCCCCTTTGATATCTTAGGAAGCAGGGCGCCAGTGCTACAGCATGCCTGGCATCACCCAAAAAAAGAGTTTGAGGCCCTGCCTCAGCCTTTGACAAGGTATTGGGAGAGCAGATGGCATGAATGACAAACAGCTGAGAGCCGTGTTTTATTCTCCAGAGCTTTGTGTCCATGTTGCTTTCAAGTCATGTGGTATTTTCTCAAATCTTTAAGACTCCTCCGAGGGCAGCCCCGGACTGCAAGGTGGGCCTCTGTGTCATGCTCTGAGCCATCTGCAGTTCATCACTTTCTCAGGTTCCTCCCTGGCTCTCTTCTCCTGAGAGCAGACTCTATTGCTGTGTGTTAATCTCTCCTTGCAGTGGCCATCAGCAGTCCTTTGGAAATCGGCTGCAGTAAGGATGAAGGGGTAGGCAGGGGGGTTTCCTGATGCTGCTTTGCAGGTCTGTCTCCTCTCACTTCCTTTGCTGCTGCTGCACCTGTCTGATACTTGAATTTTGGAGCATTTTTCATACTCCGTTAATTTTTGTTTGTGTTGCTAGGTAGATCTCAGCACTGAAGAGCTCCAGTTGCTGTCAGATTTATGCCAGGCAGAGTTACTAATTGCAGTTGCACTTGCCTTTTTCTGTGAATGTCGTGTTCCCCATTCCTTGCACATGCATGCCCATATCCATCCATACACAACACTGTCTCTCTTAAAGCCCCACAGAGTCTTTTCTGAATTTTTTTTCCCCACAGTTTTCCTGCCAGCAGCCCCTGTGGCTGCCACTGTGTGACAAACACAAAGCCTGGCTGCTTCTTGTTTGTTGGGCTCGAAGCACCAGAAGGAGTGCATCTGAGTGAGCTCTGAGCGAGGTGCTCACTTGTGATAGCTCAGTACCTCCAGCTAGCACAGAGCTGTTAATCACAGACCCAACAGCTCAGCCTTCCATCCAGGAGGTTACTGCAGCATTAACTCTTTGCTTAGCTACTGAAATAAAGTGGTAGAAAAGTACCAGGAGAGTTGGTGTGGCTTTTTCCTTTCTAACCGCATGCGGTAGAATGAAGCAAATAGTACTGTGTGCTTTAATTCTTACTGTAGGTGATGGCTTGACTTTCTTCTATGCCTTTCAGTGTGGTTGGGAGTGAAGATGCATTTCACTCACCAAACTAAATATGTGAACTGTGGGAAAGGCAACCTCATCAGCGTCTGCGAAGACCGATGGGCTAGATGGCTGTTAGATGGCTGCCATTTAACTTGTCCTTAGACATGTTCTGAAGGAATCATACTAGCCTCCGCTTACAGGATGTCACCAATGATCAGTCATAGTATATCTCTGGTTGTTATTTGAGGCATTGCGGGAAAGAAATGTTGTGATTTGAAATAGGCATATGTATCATGCAGCCTTGCTCTTCACAACAGTGTTTGTGATTAAACATGTAACTTTAAGATATGGTTGGAAGTGACTGTTTCTTTCATTCAACACCAGATCAAAATGGGGCTGTCATGGTCACAGTGTGTTCTGCAGGTATACTGAAGAATCATAGAATATCCCGAGCTAGAAGAGACCTGCAAGGATCGTTGAGCCCAAACATCACGCAGGTCCTAGGTCCCATCACACCCTTTCAATTTGACTTCACTCTTTGTTTGTTTTTTCTCCTTTCGTTCCCTTAAGTACCATCAGTGCTTTGTAACTTGGATCTCTTGGATAAGTGCCTCACACCATTACTTAGCATTCAGACCAGGTCTGGAATGGATGTTTTCGTTTTTCTTGAACACTCTTTGCTTGGAGGTGACTTTTATTTCGTTTTTCTGCCTGTATTTCATTTCTCTGCCTTAAGAATGTAACTGCAACAGGGATGGAGGGCTCAATAGCATGTGAATATATAACTCCTGTACAAGGATAGGAGGTCAGAAAAAAATGAGCACGATCTCAATTGCTTGAAGATCAATAGAAACTATTTTACTTGAGCGCTGTAACTGGAGAGAAGTTGTTACAGGTGATAATAAAATGGGATCAGAGAATTTCAGTGGTCTCATAATAATATTCTACCTCTCATAATAGTATTGCAGTATTATTACAAAGTTTTTTAAACAGTTTTGTATATACCTAGGGCTATCCCTAGGACATTAGAGTTGCATCTGTTAATGTCTGAGCTCATTTGCCAGAGAGAGTGCATGACTGTGAAGAATTTGTATAAAATTGCTGGATCACATGTGGTTGATTGGAAACTGGTTCTGGTGACTTGAGTTCCTGTTAACTTGTTTCTAATCTGGCCTTTCCCTCTCACTCTTTTTCAGCTAGGAGGTGCCTCGCTCTTCCATTTTTCTTGTTCATGTACATACCAGTCTTTTGAAGATCCTTTCTTTCAGTCTTCCTTGTGCCTGCCTTTGCCTTAGGGATATGGAGATAGTGATGCAAAAGATCCGTCCTTTCCTCTTTTTCTGCTCCTTTCCCTTGGTTATAGCCTGCATGTGAGCTGTGAGTGCAGAGCCCCCTCCATGGCAGTGTGTGGTTCCTTCTGCATGTGGGGTATCACTAAAGCCTTGTGCAGTGTACACCCGGTGCTTGGGCATCTTGTCCCAGTCCCTGCACAGGCTTCACACTGGTCAGGGTCTTAGGCAAAGCATCCCAAAATGCTCATTCCCACAGCTGGAACGTGGCTTTTCTCACAAGCTCCAGCTTTCATAACCTCAGCCCCTTCTGCCTCCTGAGTCAGGGTTGTCACTGCATGTTTGTTGAAGCATTTTGTGAGCCAAAATCTACTGCTGTTACAAAATCGGCAGCAGGGCCAGTGCTGCCAGCCAGTGACAAGTCATTAGCATCTGAAGAGATGACGTGTATTTTGTTTTCCCAGCTCAAATATTGGCAGGATGTGGGACGTTTTAGTCCAGAGGCCTACCCTGCATTGCAAACCCCGTGTTTATGCCTGGTTTGTCTTGAATGACGTTATTTCTGTTCTGCTGGTGTCACCTATTGATTAGTGTGTTGCACCCCAGTTGCTATAACCTGGAGGAAAGAAAAAGAAATAATACTGTGGAAGGGAAAAAATCATGCAACAGCCGTGGTGTTAACTCTTTTGCATATAACGTTGTGGTAAGAGACAATCAAGGTCCCCACGCAGATATTTTGGATTTGTTTTCTTGTATTATCTGGATGCAAATTTGATCTGATACTTCTTCAAACAGAGTGAGGAAGGCGGAGCAAAAAGTTGTAAAAAATATCTCTCCTTCATATTTACATGCGTTGGAGTGGCTGAAATCAAACAAGGCTAAACAACTTGCTGTGGAAGTAAATACAGCTGCCTCTTTTTGCTTAGCTGTAAGGAATAAGTGGGAAGTGCAAGGAATCCTTTTTTAATGACTAGCTAAGAACAAGGTCAGCAGCAGCTTGCTTTCAGTGCTGTGCATTCTTCATGCTGTGCTGCAGTCCTGGGTTCTCAGCAGAGCCTTTCACCTCAGGGGATGCCTTTGTCAGGGATGAGGTTTATTTCACAAGCTGTTCGTCTAACCTAGCCCACAGTTAATTTAACTGAAGAACTTGCCATTCCTTTCTGTTGTGCACAGGCGTGGGTGTTTCGATGTAGTTAGGTGGTTGCTCATTCATGGATGTGTTTGAACTTCGGAAGCCTGTGGAAATGCATCTGTTTAAACATTTTTTTCCTTCCACCTTGCATACAGACTTAGTGGTTGAACCAAATGGCTAAAAGTCATCACGGTTTTAGAGGGCAAAATGAGAAGAATCGTTATGGTGCAGAAAGGGCTGAAAGAAAGTTCTGAAAATATGAGGTGGATGCTGAAGGACCTGCTTTGTGCCTCTCCTTTCAAGGGAATAAATATGAGTAGAAGTCTGAAGGGTTGATAGTGATTTTATAACTGCAAGAAAAGGGTGAATGCTGGCTATCACGACTGGTTTGGTAAAGCTGACAAAATAATACTTGCTTGTTAAGAGTTGCAGATTTGTTTCTCTTGCCACCTTACGAATTCACCTGTAGCTAGGCTTGTGTTTCCTCACGTTCCTGTCAGTAACCAACTGATTCATGTTTCTATTTGCCTCAGGTGCTGAAGGGCTGGAGGTTTCCCTGCGCTTTTCCCAGCCTTCTTGAGAAGAAGCGGGTGAAGGTGTCTGTGGGACACTGTGTCCAGACCCCCACCAGGCTGGCAGTGCCTCGCTGCGCCTTGCCGGCCACCATGGAGACGCTGTCCCAGGACTCCCTGCTGGAGTGCCAGATTTGCTTCAACTACTACAGCCCGCGCAGGCGGCCCAAGCTGCTGGACTGCAAGCACACGTGCTGCTCGGTGTGCCTGCAGCAGATGAGGACCAGCCAGAAGGACCTGCGGTGTCCCTGGTGCCGTGGCATCACCAAGCTGCCGCCGGGCTACTCTGTGTCACAGCTGCCTGATGACCCTGAGGTGATCGCCGTCATCGCCATCCCCCACACCTCTGAGCACACCCCTGTCTTCATCAAACTCCCCAGCAACGGGTGCTACATGCTGCCCCTGCCCCTCTCCAAGGAGAGGGCTATGCTGCCGGGAGACGTCGGCTGTCGCCTCCTGCCTGGCAGCCAGCAGAAGTCCCTGGCGGTGGTGACGATCCCGGCCGAGCAGCAGCCGCTGCAGGGTGGCCTTCCTGCTGAGGCAGGTGCGGAGGAGCCTGACCGCAGAGGCGTGGTGAAAAGCTCCACCTGGTCGGGGGTTTGCACTGTGATCCTGGTGGCCTGTGTCTTGGTCTTTCTCCTGGGCATCGTCCTCCACAACATGTCATGCATTTCCAAGCGCTTCACGGTGATCTCATGCGGCTGAGGGGTGTGGGGCTGCCCCGGGGTTGCTCACCCAGGGGTTGGGTTGGTGGTGGTGGTGGTATCGAGTGAGACAATTCACCGAAACTTTGGCCGATGACTGCAGGACACTTTGTTCCCAGATGGTGGTGCACCAGCCTGGCCACAGCCCTCAGCACCAGTGGAGAAAGCTATGTCCAGTGTCTGATGGTAACGGCAATGAGAAGGACTGCATGCGTCACCATAGTCATTTATCAAGGGGACTGTAATTTATGGCAGTTTTTATTGTGTTATGAGATTAAAGACATCTGTGTAGCTGGTTGTACTGTAAAGTATGCAGTATGAGCTCTTTTCTAACCACGGTAGCTCAAAATCAGAACTGCTCCATGTAGAATTGAAGGAGAACTGGCCTGTGACTCAGTGAAAAGTGTTCGATACCAACCCACATGTGTTATTTTTTAACTGGGGGGAAGGGGAGACTTGTAAAACAGAAATCATTTAGTTGGTAAGACATTTTCTATGTTTTAAGCTGCACATTAATTAAACTAAGTTAGGAGGTTGTACAATAGTTTTTAAAAGGAAACATTTTACAAGCAATTGTTTGGTTCTGTGGTATGTGGTTTTTTGCCTGTGTCTGATTTTTCCCCACTGTTTACGGCTGTGGGGAAGTGACACTTAAGAATCTTCTATTTGAAGGAGGTTCTGAGCAGGGAAGCAAAGTGAGCCTAGGAGGAATACTTAACAATGCAGCCAAACATTTCTGCCTAACACACTTCACATGAAGAATGGCTCTGAATGGTGAACATTAGTCATACTGTTTTACCTCTGATCTGGCAAGCGGGCTTCCTGCAGACTTGGCCTTCATGGCTATTAGTGAAGAAGTGGGTCATGAGAAGTCCTAGGACTCCTTCCTGCAAGGACGTGACAGCAATTTGTTCTTCCTTTTCTTTTTCTGGAGGTTGGGTTTTCTTTCTTTTTTTTTTTTTTCTTTTTTTTTTAGAGAAATATACACCTATTTTGCCTCCCTATCTCACAGGAGATACAGCTGCACACCCATGGGTAGTATGAGAAAGAAGTTGCTGTAAGGAAGCCTCACCATGCCAACAGACCATGGACCTTTCTGTGCAATCTTTATGCCTTTGTATAAGAGGCAGTGACAGAGCTGGAAGAAGAACACAGCTTAGCCGAACCCTCTTCTGGGTTGTGCTGTCCCTCATTAATCAGCGTGGCTGTCCAGGTGTTAAAATGCATAGGTGAGCATGACGTAGACCTTTTGCCACACTTCATATGAATGTTGGTCTTTGTTATGACAGATATGAAGAAAAAGCACAGGAAATATCCCTATCCACCTATGAATGTCCTAATTTCCCAGTTATTTGCAGTTCTCTATTTAGATTGAGCCAAATTCCTGAACCTGCAGCAGCACCTTGCTCCACTAGATTTAGTATTGTTTGTAGCTTAAATGGAGCTCTGTGTGAGTTGCTAAGTGTGAATGCTGAAATCTGTGAGATTTAAGGATCAGATGGAGAGATACATAGCAGGCCTTTACTAAGACAGAAAATTCTATTGATCAGCATTGGTTCTTACTGCTCATACTTTGTACTTGCAGATGCCTACGTGTAATCTCCCCGAAGAGCGACTTGTCCACCCAGTGCTCTCTCTAGTAATTAGTTAGAGATTGTTCAAGGTTGTATTATAACAACAGAGAACATAATTTTGACTGTACAGTGCCAAGGTTGGCCTTGTAGATGGTGGTGGTTTTCTGATTTTGCTTCTGGTTCGCAGTAAACATTCTCAACTAGAAATTTCAAGAACATACCTCTGACTTAGTGCTGGATTTCTTTCCCTCCTCTTTCCCACACCACCATTTTCTTCCTTAATTTCTGTTAACTGCAGGATAGCATAAACATATGGTGCTTAATTGTTGTGGTGTACGTATGATCACGTTTGGAGAGGAACAGTCATATGTATTCATAGCACAGAAAAAAAACCATTATCCTCAGATAACAAATTAAATGCCTTTTTTTTGGTGCAAGGTGATGTGCAGTATGCCTTGAACTTATGAGAATTGTAATGCATCGACACTGCTCAGCAGCACATTTGATTTCTTTGCAGTAAAGAATGACAGGAATTCCAGAATGTGTCTGTGAACATGTTAATCACTTGTTCCCAGTAAGCAGCCAGGTTTCTGGTGACATCCACACTCTACTGCTTATTATGTAAACAAAAGCCAGTTCACCAAAAACTCTTGCCTTTATAGACTCATAGGGAAGTGACTAAATACAGGACTCGGGCCTCTACTGCCTTATCCCCTGTAGCAATTCATGCTTATACCAGGAGTACATAGCGTAGCTGGGAGGTGCTCTGAGAACAGCATGTAAGCATTTGGCATCAACTTCTGCATATCCAAGATTTTGATGACACGAAGCAGTCAGAGAGCAGGAGATAACGGCGCTAACCCTAACCTTGTGCTGCCCTTGGAGCTCTTGAGGCCAAGGTTTCTCTGCACTGCACAAAAGTTGTCTTGAAAACTGCCCCTCTTCATCCCCACATGGAGAGTGCAGTATGAAGGAGCAACCAGAAATTAGGTTAAAATACCACACTGCATAGCACATTATACAACAGGCAGAAATGGAGTTTATCTGGTGTTGATGACATCCTGTATTAGCAGAATACCATCTCGTGTTATGTAATGCAGTGCATTGTTTTGTTAGTATGAATTTCCTGTACCTTTATGCCTGCTGAAATGCATGTTTGACCTATTTTCTGATCCAGCCATTTACCTGCTTACGGCCTTGTGTAAGAGCAATAAGGGAAACCTCAAGATTTGTGTCTGTGTGTGCGGTGTGTACGTTAATTCCTTCTTTTTAACAGAAATTCAAGAGATGTTTTTGTTCTGGCTTTAGACTGTGACTCTCATTTTAAAGTTGCAGCTGCCACGTCGTGTCGGATCACCTCACGTATCTGCTGACTTATAAGAAGAGAACTGAATAGTTTGTTGTCATGTGCAGGGTTAAAAATGCTTCTCAAGTATGTCAGTAGTCATCCCGCGTTCCACGGTCCAATTCCTGGCATTGAAAAGTACTGCTATAAACAGAGTTTGGATCAGTTTTGTTCTTTTTTGGTTTTTAAAAAAGCATTCTCATCTTTGTATGTTTTTTTTCTGTGGGAGACATTTGGACTTGTGTGAAAATCATTGAGTTCTGGGCTAATTTTTGTTGCCTGCTGTCCAGTAAGAAGTCAAAGTCACTGCTGAGTTCCACCAAACAAAAAAGAGACTTAACTGTGACTCCAGTGCTGTCTGAGCGGCCAAAAATTATACAGAAAGTGGTTGTGGGAAATTACAAATGCATTTTTTAGAACAAATTACTCTGTGAATGTGTATTTAATGGCTTGTTTAGTGGGAAGAATATGTGCGTTGGGGTCCAACTTCTCTGTTATCCCAGAAGACCCCGACTTCCATTTTTGGCTTGTGCTTTCCTGGCAAACAGACTTTAGGATTCACTCTGTGAAATTTGGTTCAGTGAATTTTAAAAATTCAAAATATGCAATTTTGGTATGTGGGATTTCTTTTAGGAAATTGTGCTCAGTAATTCTTCATGCTTAACCACAATGTAAAGGAGTCTGAATGTTTTGTGAACATGGAGCAATCATGAGCCCAAAGTTTCATCTTTATTAATGAAGCTCTGTCTGAATAAAACATTAACAGGAAAAGAATGATATTGAATGAATTATGGTACCTCTGTTACTTTGCTATCAAAGAGCGTGGATGGGAATTTGGCAGAGTTGCTGTTTTTTTATGAGGGGTTGGCTGAAATTCGAGTCTTAGTGTTTTAAGGCAAAGTGTTAAGTGTGGGTTGTAGTAAATGATAAAAGGAGTTTCACATATAATTACCACGGAATATGAAATTAGAGCTGAAGACTACTCAGCCATGCAACAGATTTTTCTATCTGATTAATCAGATGATTTAAAAGTATTAAGTACACTTCGTGCTCATGGGAGTGAGGGGCTGTTGGCCTTGACTTGACATGCATTGCACTGATGGGGACCTGGCTCTGCCCTCCCAGTCGTGGTAATGCCGTGAGCCATGAGCCGTGGGCCGCCTTTGTCATAGGTCTTCTGAAACAAGGGTGGCTGACTTTGGGCTGGTTTTGGTACATTCATGATGGAGCTAAAATGAAAGAAAAAAATTAATACCCAATTTCCTTATCCTGGTTGCACATATAGTGTGGCTTGAGATTCGTCTTTTTCCAGACTTCTGTGCTTGGATGAAGGCAAAGCAGGGATGGAGGGAAGAAGAGATTGCATGGGAACAAATGAGTTCTGGTGTCATCCAGGAGGCTGTTGAAGTATCAGCTGGCCCTGGAGGCAACGTTTTTGTGCCTGAGCTTCAGCAGGGTGAGATGGCCTGGCAATGCTGCAGTGGATTTACAGCACGTTTTAGTGACCTTTCCCATGCTGTATGCTGTCCGTGGGCTTGACAGCTGGGGCTGTTCTGTTCTTTGTCACTTTGCCTCTTGCATGCCTGTGTCAACAAACAAAGCTGCTTGCTTCATCCTCAAGTTGAATGATTTTGCAGACGTTTCTGAAGTTGCCCTGAGCATCTTTAATGAAAAAAATTACCTTCAAAGTTCAGTGAAATTTAAGGCTTAATAAATGCATTCTTGTTTTTCAAGTGTTTCCTAATGCTTCAATAAATTTCTCATTTCAGCTCTAAGTAAATCCTATAATTTTTGTGCTAACAAGTTCCTATACGTCTGAAGCAATTCACAGAGACTAGATGAGATCCACAGCCAAAAAAAACCCAACAACTTCCTATCCTTCCCACAGTCCCCTTCAGATCTACACAAGCCTGTTTTCCCCCTCCTCATTTGTACCAGCCTGAGGCACCTAAGCATGGCAATGAGATGGAGACTTGTGGGAATGTACTGACACCCTGCGTGTATGAGCATGGAGAAGTGTTGCCATGCTCAGGGGTGGAGGTAAGCACACAGCACATGCTCTTATGTAATAGAGGCCAAGAGGATTAGAAAAAGGGCCCCAGGCGCTTACAGCTCAGGAAGGTCATGTACTTCACGGTGCTGAGATAGATGACATGATAGCACAAAGCCCAGGTATTGCTGCCTGGTTTTTGCATGAGATGAGTGCAGTTCCCTTTGAGCTGCCTTGTGTAAGCAGGCACGTTGTGCTGCTGCACAGGACTACTGCCTCCAAGCTAGGGTGTCACAGAACAGCTAGAAGCCTGGGTTTTTACTCCAGTGCTGGTTATGAATTCGTTTGGAGTTCATTTGTAACACTTTCATCAAGCGCTCCTGAAAGCTTGAAGGCAACCAAGAGGCTTGGCCTCAACAGGCTCAAGAGCAGGAAGAAACGGCGCAGAAGGAGAAGGGAAATGAGCAGTCAATTAGGCGGTCACCTGCAAGTTCAGATCTGTGTGTACAAAACCATCTACTGGGATGTTTAGTAGTGAACCGTGCGTGTCATTTCTGTCAAATGATGTACTAAGAATACCTTGACTGTGAAACTCGTGATTGCTTTTTTTCTTTCAATACTGTGGAGATGGGAAGTTGCCTATTTCAGTATAGTTTTCCATGTAACTGAGAAGCTTGATGTGTAGGCAGGAATACTTCAGGGTGCCGATACGTTGCTGAAGCTCAGGACTGAGGTACAAGCTAAGCAGAAGTTCAATGGGAAGAAGCTGGGATAAAAAAGAAGCAAATGAGTGAATGTTCAGTGTGTGTGGATCTGTTGCACTGTAGAAAACAAAAGCTTGTTTTGTTCACATGTGTGTTGCCTGATCCTAAGAAAAGCAGGTGGCCATCTCCCAGGATAAATCATGATGTTGGTAACGAAAGTTGTAAATCCCAAACAGCTAAGGATAGGATTTATTGAACCTCTTAGGCCTGAGAAGGTGTAAACAAAAGAAGTGGCTATTTTGTACTGCTGCTGTACTCAACTTACGAGGCATAAGACAGGAGGATCAGATGAACGGTGTGTGACCTTCTGCTTTGGTTCTTGGGATGGAGTAAATAGATAAATTCAGAAATTTAACCTTCTTGCTCAAGGTTACTGGTTCACCCATCTTGAGAATGACAAAAGGATGTGTGTGTGCTGTCACTGTGCTGACTGGTTTTGGAAGCATTGCCCTATAGGCCACTGTGTTCACTGCCTAGACCTGAAGCATTAGGGTTTGTGTGTGCTTAAGAGGGTAGGAATGTGCCCCAAGATCTGAAAAAAAAGAAAAGAAGAAAAAAAAACAATCCATCCCCTGCAAGCTGCTTCCAATTGTAAAAAGTATGTGCTTTTGCTTTGAGAGGTTTAGGTTAGATATGAGGAGGAAGTTCTTCACACAGAGGGTGGTGACACACTGGAACAGGTTGCCCAAGGAGGTTGTGGATGCCCCATCCCTGGAGGCATTCAAGGCCAGGCTGGATGTGGCTCTGGGCAGCCTGGTCTGCTGGTTGGTGACCCTGCACATAGCAGGGGGGTTGAAACAAGATGATCATTGTGGTCCTTTTCAACCCAGGCCATTCTGTGATTCAATGATCCTATGGTACTTTCAAAGCAGCCCATCGTGTGCCAC